CGTTTCGTTACTCCGACCTCGCTGGCTGCGACACGCCCTATCGACCCTTCCGAAACGAACTTGATACGTTGCTCAACGCACATGGTTCTGGTGTCAACCACATTCCGACTGATGTCGACTCTACGGTAGAGACGATGGCTTCAGCTCACAATGTCGATGATATAGACGCCATGAGAGAGGTGTCGGAGCTGTCTTACATAGTTAGCAGCTTTCCAGATTTGGAGCATCTGGCAGTGCGAGTACCGGCAGGGCGCATGCACATCCTCCAAATCTTTATACGGGAAATATTGCACCACTTCTTGCCTCGACTGAAGACTGTTACGTTCGTCACTGTGCAAGCCACTAGTGATGTTCAAGTCACTGGTACTGTGCAAGCCACTGGTGCTGGTGGTCCACTGCTACTCCCAGACTTCCAGCCGCCCGAGGGCAGGTGCAAACTGCATCGATTCTCTACGAAAGAGATGGAGCACCTTGCAATCAAGACACGTCAAGATGACATCCAGAACATGGATGATTTGATTGCCAGCGTAATATTGGGCTCTATGAAACTTCGAGCGTTCGTCGATGCCACCAAAGCAAAGTACCAATTGTCACTGGCGTAAGTCACAAGCGTCTTGCTCAGACCCTGCGCGCACTATACTCACTCTAGGTTTTACCATTTCCTTCGTTTCGGTGGCTGACCCTTGGAATACATTCAGCAAAAAGATAGAAATCGAAAAAAACATGGACTCTACGAACGGAGAGAAAATCTTCCAGGATATCCTGAAACGGGCCATCGACTTCCAAGCGCATACCTTCATCGAGTATCAAAACGGCTTATGGAACCGAGCCACGGCACGTCCATCTGAACAGATTACTCACATTTCCTGTTTACTGCTCGACCACCGCCATATCTACCCCGAAGCTTTTGTCTACAGAGACGGCGCGTATGTTGCGAAGCGGGAAATCCCCGTCTTGTGCGCAGCGGAAGGGCAAATGAGATTCGAGAAACTGCATCAGGAATTTGTTAAACTGGGACTTATCCAAGAAGATGCACATGTGGACGACGAAGATGAGGGGGGCGATGGGGATGACGAAGATGACGACGGTGACGACGATGCTTGAACATAACGAAATCTAAGGACGACAAGTTCTAAAGACGACGAAGTCTAGAGACGCAGACGAACAGGGAAGCAAGCAACGTTGATTGGAACCCAATCAAGACAACTGAAATACGGGACGTTCTAAGCTTGTGTTCCGCGGAGATGACCTTTTGGAATGGGGTCTGCCGAACAGATTAGTGAGCATAGGTAGTTGCGATCACGGAGTTAAGGTACGACATTGCATTAACGGCGGTGTAATGGAAATACCAGCTAGCTGAACCTTCGCGAGTAACTCCTGCGACGTTGCAGTGATTGGCGTGTTCCTTGTTCTGATGCCAGGTTATCCTTTCCAGAGCAGTGTACTTTGCTTTACACTGGTCGTCAATTGGATGGTGTTCCAGTCAAGTATGTGAAACGGCTTTTGACAGGTCTTGGCCTTCCTAGGTACACGCAATTACGTCCCAAGTTTGTACGTGAAATTGTATGTGTCTGTGGAATGCCACTCAGACACCTACATTCTAGACAAGCTTAGGAGCTTAGAAGATTGGAGATAGAGACAACGATAGAGGCCACTAGACCCAGCAAAGAAAGAGATGTCTAACTGATAGCTGTCAGTCTAGACTTCAGCCGCCAGCCTCAACTTGGAGGGTAGTGGATAATTGTTTAAAACCCCCTTATATTATCTGCTCATGTATACACTTGTATCGCAAGTCTATTGCGTTGTCGGCCGCCTGTCGTCGCTGCACAGCCTCTATACCCTCAAGAGTATACCTTGCTGGGCATGTCTCAAGATTGCCTCTTTCGGTTGCTGAGAGCAAGCGTGTCTTAGACTTTGCCTAACGGTATTACCGTTGTAAATCTCTGGGCGGGCATGATCTCCTCTCTTTAGAGTTGCGCCGTCTCAGGCATTGAACAAGTCGCAACGTGCTCATTGCGTGCGTGGGTTGTGGGTAAAACGGCCCTGCATTAGTGCTGTGCGGAATGCGACCTCGGAGGGGAGATCGAAATCGAGACAAGACACCTTCATCTCAAGTCATGATATATCCCAGGACCATGGAAAGGGGTTTCCCGTTCTTCGCGAGGGGTCCGGATGATCGGGCATCGTCCGGCGTACCAGCCTATCGGTAGCACTCCATCTGTGGGAGGTGTAAGCGACAGACTTTGGAGTCGCATTCAGCAAATTTTGCAGTTCGTTCGTCGTCGACGAAGCTGACGCGAAACATCCCCGTTTAACCTGAGGTAGGCAGCGTAGCATCCATTTGTAAGCCATGGCTGCAGCAGCAGTGCAGTGCTGCAGTGGCCCGCGGCCGCAAGTTCGTTAGCGAAATCGGCGACTGACTCGGTGGGAGATGACAGTGGGGAGGGGCTAAGTGATTTTTAGAGTTGCACGCCGTTAGGTCCTTTTGTTCCCCTTCTGCACAATCTGCTGTCGCTGGGCAATATAAGCTCACTGAGAGTTCGCGCGGTTCATCTCCTAGGATGAGGATGAGGCAAGAAGATGAGGCCGAGGTGCAGAGGCCAACTTTGACGGTACACGGGCCTGGGATGGGCACTTATATAAATTGGTCGGCGGATTCGGCGCAGCATCGGCGGGATGCCACCGCCCAAGAGTGCGCGCCCTACTCCGTCAGGGACGAGGATACGGACAATACGAGAAGATTCGGCCTAATTTGCGGGCAGCAGGTCGGGGAGACGGACCCCACTCCCCGGACGCTTTGCCCGAACGGATTAGAGTTGGGCATTTAGACTTCACCCCTAAAACACAAGACCAGCATCAGGTTGCGTCGAGGGGCGCACTGCATCCCTTGGGGTATAAACCGCGTATGCGCCCATCCGCGCACTCGGACGGACATCTGAAAATCTCCGTCTCGAGAAGAGCCTGTCTGTCCAATTTGCGAGAAGGGCCAGACAGAAAGAGAGAGAGAAGAGAGAGTAAGTGAGAGCGAGCGAGAAAGGAGAGAAGAGAGAAGCGACCAAACTGGACGAAAAGGGAAAGGAAAGCGACGACGACCAGACAAAGGAAGAGAAAGAGGTGGGCGACGATCAGTCGAAGGATTCAACGCTACGGAAGCAAACGCCGAAACCAACGAGAGACACCGACGAAGAAAACCGGTGAGGAGAACCAGCCAGTCAACCAACCAACCAGCCAGAGAGAAGACAACGACAAAAGAGAGGGAATAACGAGCGGTTAGTAGGGGTCTTTTCCCGCGGCGCTGGCACTCACCCCTCCATGACACATGCTTTTCTGGCCCCCAAACCCAACCACCCACCACCCTAAGCCCCCGAGCCCAAACACCGTCGCCCTGTCTGTTTGACGCAAGCAGCAGCGACGCTCAGCTGGCCTTTTCTCTTTCTTCTCCTTTACCCTTTTTTCTTAACCCGGTACGCTACGGTCTCCAACTTGCCCGCGCGCGAAGAAGGTGAGGGCAAAAAAAAGAGGGGAAAAAGGACGGACCACAGGCCACGGATATTTGGTTTCGTCCTTTCGTTCTCGGTTCCAACAGCTTGGGAAAAGCAAGAAAAAAAAGAGTTGCAGGTCGAGAAACAATCAGTAACGTAGACCGCACGCCGAACAAGTCCGGTTTTATTTGTGCCAAGAGCGAGGAACCCCCCAAAGAGCGAAACCGAGGGATTCCTCACAGAGGCCAAAAAAAAAAGTTATGGAGCAGAGCCCCGAAGCTCAGCAGTCACCGCCAGACGGACAAGCGGCCAACCGCGGGTCCGACGCACTTCCGAGGCCGCGTCCGTTGGCTTGCACTCCATGTCGGCGCCGCAAGGTATGTTGATGAGATCGTCCTCTTCCACCCCCTCCCCGTACCCATGGATCGCGTGGCCGCCTGCCCCGTCCGGCCCTGTGAATGGGTGAAGCTGAGGAGCCGGCCCATCAGGGGAGCGCGGCAATTCTCGCCGTGGTGGATTTGGGGCGGGCACGCACGCGAACCCGTGAACCATTACCGGGTAGCTGGGTCAAACTGTCTAGGGGGGCAAAAGGCAGATTGATGGCAGTGAGGGGAGAGGGAAGAAAACGGGGAACGGAGAATAACAGCTTGTCGTATGGACATCTTGGCTGACGGCGGACCGGTGATCCGGTACGGCATCTTACAGATTCGATGCGACCACAAGACGCCAATCTGTTCCAACTGCGTCAGGTATGGCTTGGAATGTACCTGGCCCGAAGGTCGACGCTCTTCAGGACGGCGTCAAAGACCGTGAGTTTGCTGGCCCCCCCTCTCTGCACTTTACTCTGCCCCGTTCCCCTTATTCGTGACGATCCTTGGCCTTACCTTACCATCCCGCGCGGCCTGCCGCCCTTCAACCCAGCGCGGGCGGGGCCGTTACCGCCGATCGTATCGGACATGGAACTTTGCTAATATTATCATACCAAGGCTCTATGAGGATGTCGTCACAAGGCTGGCACAGATGGAGAAGTTGGTGGAGGAGCTCCAGACCACGAACCACCAGGGGTCGCCACAGTCCAACGAGCCGGCGGGAGCATCATCGTCCTCAGCTTCAGCGTCGGCACCAGTGCCGACGGCGGCGGCAGCAGCTTCAAGCGTCTCACCTTTGACGACGCAGCCAACACCGCCGGCGGCGGCGGTGGCGACGAATGCGGCAAACACGTCCTCCGCAGGGGCGGCGTCGGCTTCGGTCTCGGCCTCCCACTCACCCCTGTCCAGACGGAAGGCCAGTAGCGCAAGCCCGTCGTCCGGGAACCCTGACACGTACCCGTCGCCGCCGTCCGCCAGCTCGTCGACCGGGGCGAGGCCGTATTATGTGGGGGCGCCTAGTGAGCAGGTGGTCGCTGCGGCAGGTAAGAATACCTAACCCCCTTGGGAATTCCGCAGAGCAGATGGGCCTGTCGTCCTGGCTAGCTACCAAGATCCAGAGTCTGTCTGCTCATTGAGAATCTGGACAATCATGACAATCAAGAGAAAGACGACGGCTAACGTGGCTGACCTCTCAGGTGCCTGCTCGCTGCTCTCACCGCAAGGCCTGTCGCAGATTGAGCTTCTTATCGGAGACTCGCGGTTCAGCAACGCGCTCAACGGCCTGCACCCCAAATTCGATCGTCTCAGGCCGGAGCCGTGGCTGGAGCACGATGAGCTGAACCACCCGCTCCCTCCCAACCATGTCATCATGGACTGCGTGAACGGTATGAGGTCTCATGAGCTCTGTCGTGAGCACGACACTGACATGGCATATCACAGACTACATGGTGACGATGAACGCCGGCATCCGGCTTTTCCAAGAGCATGAAGTACGAGCAGCGTTACGCGCCTATTTCCAAGGCCAGCCCATCGCCGACCCAGGCTGGAGGATGGCCGTCAACTCCATCATCGCCCACACCCTCCGCAAGAGGAACCGCATGCGCAACAAGGAGGATTACGAGAAGTACATTCACAACGCCCTGGGCATGATCCCAAATGTCGTCCTCCGCACGCCGTCGCCGCTCACAATAGGATCATTATTGTCAATAGTAAGCCTCTCCCCAGCTCCCTCGTCGCGCCCCCCTTTTCACCAATGCTGACCGCACCAAGATCCTCTACTACAGCTTCATGTCCGACAACCACATCGCCCTGACACTACTCGGCCTCACGGTCCAGCTCCTCTTGATGTCCGGCTACCACCGCCCCGAGCCGGACCTCGCCTTCGCCGACGCGTCAAACCTCAACCCGGTGGAACACCTGCACCGCCGCCGCCTCTTCTGGCAGGCCTACATTCTCGACCACGACCTCATGCTGCGCCTCGGCAAGCCGCCGCTCATCCACGACGACTTCCTCCTCGACCTGCCCGAGGAGCACCCCGCGGACGGCTACGCCATGTACTACTACCCCAACGACGTCACCCTCAACTTCTTCCTGCAGCAGGTCCGCCTCGCCCAGATCCAGGGCCGCATCTCGGCGGCGCTGTACTCGCGCAGCAGCGTCCCGCCCGCGGAGCTCGAGTCTGAGATCCGTCGCCTCGACGCGGAGCTGCAGGAGTGGAGGGAGAGCATCCCCGAGATGATCCACCCGGAGCGCGTCGAGGCCCTCCTGGACGGCGACTTTGCCCGCATGGTCTGCCTGACGACGCTGCACTTTACATACTTCCAGCTCGTTGTGGCAATTCACTCGGCGGCTTTCCGCCTCCCGGCTCTTGAGGACCAAGAAGGCCTCGAACAGGGCGACATCGGCCCGTCTCTGGCCCTCTGCGTCAGCGCATCTCGAGCAGCCATCTCACTGCTCAATTACCATCAGATCGAACACCCCTACACCCCGTAAGCTTCCCCTCTGCCACCCCGGCCTATTCTAACATCTTACTAACAAAACCTCCAAAGATACCTGCTCTACCAGGTGGCCTGGTCCGTCGACATCCTCTTCGTCAACATCCTCCAGAACAAGACCTCCCCGCGCGCCCGCCGCGACCTCGACCTCATCCGCACCGTCCTCACCTTTTTCGAAAAGTTCGATCCGGACCACGAGAAGGTCGTCTCGTACCAGATCATCAGCGTCATCGCCGACGTCGCCGCCTCCGTCCTCGCAAACACCCCCACCCTGCCCCCGCACATGCTCCCCGTCGCCCGGCCCCAGACCTCCGCCCTACAGGCCCCGCCCGGGCCCATCCGCGGGACGTCCCCCGGGACCGGCATGCAGCGCCAGTCCGTCGTCGCGGGGTTCCCACCGGACACCCCGATGACGGGTACCACGGCGGCCTCCGTCCGCAGCGGCAGCATCAACGGCGGGGCGGACGGCATGCTGGGTTCCATGACGAGCCTGTCCATGTCGGACCAGCAGCAGCAGCAGGGCTTCGTCGACATGACAATGACCCCGCAGCCCGAGCCGCAGTTCTTCAATGGCTTCATGGACATGGCGGACTGGCGGCTGCCGATGGAGTACCAGCCGGAACTCTGGCAGTTCGACAGCGTTCTGGACAACAACCGCTACAACCAGAACTGAGGCTAGGCCAGGCGGGGGTGGATACCTTTTGATTTTGATTACATTTACCGGACGTTTGGATAGGCGGGAGGGGGACTAGAGATTCGGACCGGCCGCCGGATGTGGCCCCATTTTAATCGACTTGAAAACGTAGGCTTGGCGTCATCCGACTCCACCAAGGCACCGAGGATTCCCCCTTCCGGTCGGGACGTCCAGACAAGCGTCGCGCCGGCTTTCCCACATTCGATACCGAGAGGCCCAGTCTTAGTACAGGCTTTCACCTATTGTAGGATAAGTGGCACACAAACAGCACGCGCGCGACTCATCGGGGGAGAAAGAGGAGGCGACGTTGTTGAGGGAGGCACGCGACTCGATACCCGAACCTCGCTCCCGGCGCCCCGGATTGGACATCGACCTTTCTCCAAAACGGGATGAACGACGTAATCGCGCGTCTGGTTACAGAAGGTCTCGCAGCGAACACGGTGCCGAATTCGGGGCAAACGAACACGAGGAGTTCTCTGAGGTTCGGACGGTGTCAATTGGGGATGGAGTACTCGGATAGACGGCGGGTTTGGGGGGCATATGGGGGAGAGGAAAAATACTAACGGCATGCCGCTGTTTTGTGTCTCAACACACCTTCACACTCAAACGTACAGATACCATGTTACATGCGACAGCAGGAGGAATTGAGCTCTTCTATTTTGCTTTTACTGCGTTTTCCAAAATGCGCGCGGTCTTGTGTCTGTCTCTCTCCTGAAGACTGTCTTGCTGAGTGAAACCTTTCCTGCCCCGCCTGCCCTACGAAGATGAAAGTGATTCAAAACAGCGAAGACAAACCAACACAACGGTTCCCATCCATCCCCCCCTGGCGTCTCACATGTCAATCTCGTTCTGCATCTCCACGGGAATAAGACCTTGTCGCAAAAAAAAAAAAGAAGGGACGGGACAATCACCCCTGCCTTGCCCTGCCTGCTGTTCCCACAGCCGCTGCAAGGTACGCTACCGACGCGGAAACACCATCCGGGGGCGGCGCGGGCGGTGCTGCTAAACGAGAAAGAAAACCCCATACCCAACTCCTTCCTGCATGACGTCAGTGCACAAATACCCGGACTCTTCGGAGCAGCCATCGACTGTTCTTTCTACCTTATGCAACCACCTTCTTTCCAAATACAATGGCCGACGACGACCGAGCGAGAAACGAAAAGGGGTAAGAGACATGGGACGCTCGCCGTGGCGCTTTCTTGAGAATTGAAGCCTAAACTCTTTTCTGCGATGGCAGCAAAACACTCCGGAATGTTTAGACCTCCTCCCTAGGGCGATTTGTTGTCTTATTTCTTTTATTCCCCTTGCGCTCAAGATTCCTTAAACCATGCTCCGGTGAGAGAACATCTATATTCAGACAACCGCCCTCGCTCTTTATCCTGAAGTTTTCGCGAAACACCGGGCACGCCCTCGTCGACGACGGTCTTCGCCAATCAGCAGCTAGGCAGGCTATTGACAGGAGCAGCAACCTCAAACTGCCAGACATCACATCTGCTCCTCCTCGTTGCCAATATCAGCCACACAATGTCTGAAAAGACACCCCCTCCAAAGGACGACAGACGACGCCAATCGGCCAAGAAGCACCCGCCAAAAACGCTCCGCGAACGCTTCCTCCACACGCTGCCCTACTATACAGGGCCTTACGGCGTGGGTTTCTTCGAGATTGAAGCCCCGGCCCGCCGCCCGCGGACCGTCTCCCAGCTCAGGCGCGACAACGTCCCGCTGCTGAGGCTCGACACCGTGCTCTTCGCCGTCTTCTACCCGTGCACCCTCAAAACCAAGGTCGAAGGTGGCGACCCGGTGTCCAGGCACGGCCGCAAGGCTAGCACGCCCACCGCCAATGGCAACAACAATAACAACAATACGGTCAAAGATGGCAACGACGCGGAGAAGACGACCAAGAATCCGAAGCTTTCGCGCGTGGGATGGCTCCCGCGTCCGAGGCTGAATACCTGCAAGGGATATGCCAACTTCGCGAGCATCCCAGAACTGCCGGTGACGGCGTACATCGCTGCGACCACCATGTTCACGAAGCTTCCCGCGCTTAGGAACGCCAAGCTGGCGGAAAACTGGCCGGAGGAAATGCTGACGGACGATGGGCCCGCGGGTGAGGCTGCGAGAAACGAGGAGTGTAAGACATCAACAAAACCGAAGTTCCCCGTCATCATATTCAGTCACGGGCTGGGAGGATCAAGACTGTGCTACAGTGCCATCTGCGGAGAGCTGGCGAGCTACGGCTTCATTGTGGTAGCCATGGAACATCGGGACGGAAGCGGAGCCAGGACAATTGTCAACATCCCCGAGAATCGAGAGACCTCCGACAGCGACTCTTCGTTTGCGCAGGCCAACGGCAAGCACGTTCCCGCCAACAAGAAATGGAAGCGCAGCAAGGGAACCAGCGAGTATTACTGCGTGGACTACCTTTTCCCAAAGGACAATGCCCAGGACACAGCACCGAACAGTGCCAAGGGAGTCGATGTGGTGCTGCGCAGTGCGCAGATCGAAATGCGAATGTCGGAAATAGAGGAAGCCTACTGGATACTCGAACAGATTAACGAAGGTCGCGGTCACGAGGTCGAGGCCATGAATCTAAGAAGAGAGGGGAATGTGGCGTCCAGCTCCAAGGGCCTCACTGGGATCGACTGGGCGGATTGGAAGGAGAGGATGTTCCTCGAGAACGTGACAGTGATGGGCCATTCATTTGGCGGGGCAACGACAGTTGAGATGCTGCGGACGGAGTCGCTCAGCTGGGTAGGTCAAGGCATCATCCTCGACGCTTGGGGTCCCGCCACGCCCCGAGCGGGAGAGAACACTAGACACCGCGTAAAGAAGCCGCTTCTGTCGATCGGATCGGAGGCCTTTATGCATTGGCAGGATAATTTTGACAGGCTTGTCGAAATCTGCAATGAGGCGAGGGAACAGGAGGCACTCACCTGGATGATGACGATCAAAGGTTCGACCCATCTCACCCAGACAGACTTTGCCATTCTGTACGCGACGTGGATGGACATTCTCATGAAGACGCTGGTCAATCCACGGAGAGGCATCTACCTCACCGTCTCGCCGGCCCTCGAGTTTCTGAAAATTACCTTGCCTTGCCAGCAGACAAAGTACAACATGTGGGTGGACATGGGAGTCCTCAAGACCGCGGAGGCACCGTCGTCTCCAGACGCCATGATGACGTGCGATCATCGCCCCAAGGACAAGTGGATCGCAGTAAAGCTCAAGGTCGACAACGAGGCGAGGCTGCGGGTTAAGCACTGGGTACGCCACAACAAGCACTCGCTCTTCCGCAAGGACAAAGGAACCGGTATGCCGTCGGGGCTGATCAACTGGGACGAGGGTAACGAGCTCTTCATGCACTTCAGTCCGGGACCTGAGTCTGTGGAAAAGTACATGCGTGAGAAAGAGCGGATGACGGATGGCGCCAATCCTCATTAGCCTGTTTGGCGAATTGATGTCCCGATTCGTAGATCTAGGAGTTGGCATCGGTCTTCTGAATCCTATGCATCTCCTTGAACCCTGATGCTTTCAGCGGCCTCCTCTTCTCCCTCGTCCCTCGACTTCACCACTTAATGCAGAATGTAGCGGTATGCCTACCCTGCTATTCGTTACTATCACGTAAAGCTGTTTGCAGAGCCCTCGTGAATGCCTCGATACGTCTGCTCCTGGTGCCAGGCTCCTTCTGTGTCGGTCCCCTGGGCGGGAACTAAAAGGAGCATGTCTCAGGGTTCTAGGAGATTCTTAGTGAATCGGCTTATGAGTTCGGCGTCCAGCGCCGGGTGCCCCGTATCCAAGGCTTCGGTACGATTTCTGCAGTAGTGAGTAGAAGAAACAACAGCAATGCAGAAAGCAGTGTTTTGACGGCTTGATCAACCTGAGAAGCCCAAGAGATAGACTCAATGCAGTCCCCCAATCGCTCTATTTCCATGCGGTCAATCGGGAGATCGTGGAAAAATGGCGAGCCGTCAGTGATGTTAGCCTGCCTGCACGCCTGCAACGTGATTTCAAATTCAGTCGTCACTGGCCAACGGCTCTGCAAGCCATCTGCGTGGTCGGACGGTATTGCCAAAGCACCCAGCGGATCGCCCACGGCGCCAGAGAGGACTAACTGGAGTTTCCGCGAGGTTGTTTCGATGGGTTCTGCAAACGAGATGCTCGTGCGGGCAGCGCTTTGTCGTCAGGGTATGGTAGCTTCGGTTTGAGGTATGAAGCGATGCTCGGACGGGTAGCCGAAGAGGACTAGCTCCAGGGACGTCGCCTAAAGCAAATTTCGATCGGATCGAACCAGGGGTGGCCCGGCAGGTGACTTTGTGGGGAGAACTGGTGGTCGCCGATGAATGAGTCTTTGGGGGACGCGAAGGCCAGAGACGGTGTCGTTTGTCCGTTTTGCATGCCGAGTGGTTGGGACGGAGGGCAATTGGTTGGGCTATTTCTGGCTCTTCGGTTGGCTTGCAGCATCTTCGCCGCCACACGTCTTTCGGATGAAGGGTTTGTGGTGGACAATTGGCAGGCAGTAGCTGGCAAGTAGTAGCTCCTGGTCTGCGCAGTAAGGCGAGCTTGGGCCAAGCAGAGCAGGGAAGCCTGCTCACGATTCCATGCAGGATGGTGGTGATGTTGGAGGTGTGGGAGGCGCCGTGAGTGGTTGGGATGCAAGTGTCAGTTGATGGGACGACGCAATACGAAGTGTGCTGTCAGGGACTATTGGTTTGCGTCCAGCTGCAGGATGGGCATTATGTGAGCTCTTGGGAGACGGTCAAACCCTAACCTTAATGGTAGCTGAAAGGGTAGCTGTGAGCAGGTCAGCGTGGAAGAAGGTCGGACGGAGGAGGAATGGAGGATGCGGGAGAACAGAGGAGATGTCCGTGACGAAAGCCTATTGTGGATGGGTGGGTGGGATGAAGTCTGACGGCGTGGAGGGCTTCGGCTTCGCAGCCATTCTGTCAGTCCACAGCTTCAAGTTCAGGTGAAGCGAGGAA